AGGTCGTGGGCTTGATCCCCAGGAGGGGGACAAGCGGACAGAGGCCAATTGATGTTTCTCTTTCATCGACGTTTCTACCATCCTCTCTTCCTGTCTAAAAATCAATTTTGGAAAACCTTTAAAAAGAATAAAACACTTAGGAGCAAGTGCCCTGTGCATCCCCAGAACGGTCTCTAGAACATCGGCTGACCTGAGTGCCCCTCCTCCCTCCCTCCCGCATCCGAGTCCTCCGCTGCCCCTGGTGCCTTGGACTCGCCTTCAAAAGTTAAGGGAGCCAGTCAATTCAAGTGTGTGTGTGTGGGGGGGTGCAGATAAATAACAAAACTTGGGAGCACCCCACCGTCATTGGGAGGCACCCAGTTTAGGAGGGACCTGGGTTCTCCCGGGCCTAATTCCCAGCCTAATCCACCCCAGCCGGGGCAGACAAGCGACTCCTCTCGGCCTCCGTGGCCACGAGCTCTTGTATTTGTAGGTTGGGCTAACGAGGCCCTTCCCCAAGGACAGCTGTGAAGACCAAGGGGGCGACCCTGAAGCAGGGCAGTCACCTCCCACCTCTGGGGAGCCCAGGGCTTCCGCTGGGCCGTGGGGGCCACTGCTCGGGAGCAGTCCCCGCCCCTGGCGGACCAGGTGCCTGACCCTGGCGTTGCCCCTCTGCACGTAGCATCTCCCTGTACAGAACGGGTGGTGATAGCAGACACGGCCGTGTGGTTGCAGAGTGCACGCAGGGGCGCCTGGATGGCCGCGAGGGGCGCCCCCGGACCACGAGTCTTGGAGACTCTGCCCCCCCCCACTTGTTTGGTTTGGTTGCACTGTGTGGATACCTCTGTGTCCACCTCACCCCCTGCAGGAGGCCCCTGCTGAGTGCTGAGCAGGGACCTGGCCCCAGGACACACCCCGGTTGCCCCCGGCGTGGCCGCCGCTCTGCTCTGGGCCTGCGAGCTGCCCAGAGTGTGAAGTAAATGGAAACGGTGACTCTGAGGGTGCACGTCTGGCCACTGGACCATGCTAGTCCAGCCTCAGCCTCTGTGCCCGTCTGCCCCCTCTGCCTGGCCTTGTGGGTCTGACCCTTCCCCACCCTAGCCCTCCCTCCCAGGGAGCTCCCCGAAGACCAAGCAGACGCGCTCGGCAGCTGGACAGGGGACTGGCGTGTCCGTCCGCGGCGCCATCTGTCACGTTCGGTTCAGCCCCTGGAAAGCAGCTGTGTCTTGGTGGACAGTGGCTCAGCCTGCAGGGATCTGTGCGGAGTCTGAGCCCACGGGCGGGCACGCGGCGCCGGGCAGAGTTGGGGATAAAGGGAGGACCCCCAGTGTCCTGCAGGGGCCCGCCAGAGGTGGGAAGGGGCTCGTCTGGTTCCAGGACCAGAAGGTCGGGGACCCGCACGTGCCCCGTGGTGGTGTGTGTGCAGAGCTGGGTGGCTTCTCAGATGGCGCATGCTCTGACGTGTTCTTAGAGACCCCCTTCGTGGCTTGCGGGGCCCGGCTGGCAGCCTGGACGTGGGTGGGCCCAACTAGATCGTCACGGTGACCTGGAGAAGGTAGTGCCCGGGAGCAGGGTGGTGGCCATGCAGAGAGAGCAATGACAAGTTCTGGCGTCCGACCCATCGGGAGGCCGTTTGACCAGTAACTTTGGAGAGACAGCTCCCCGAGGCTGTGCCCAGCACAGGGCCCTGCCAGGCAGCCTCCTTGGGGACACCGCCCCGGTCTGTACAGCAGCCCACAGACCTGCGTGGGAATGGTGTCCGAGGTCCGCGGCCTGCAACTCTGGAGGGGCGGGTGCTCAGGTAGACCCCCTCAGACATCAGCCGAGACCTCAGGGCTGTGCGTGGGAGCAAGCCAGCGGGGACTTCTCAGAACTCATCAGGACAGGGGCCGAGAGGACCTGAGTTCTGGATTGGGGACTCCGTAATGAGAAGGTGTCCCAACGCTAGAGAGACCCAGTGCAGACAGAACGGAGGACCCTGACGAGGAGGCCCAACTGCCCCCCACGCACGCGGGCTCTCGAGCGACACTGGAAGGGTGTTTTCTGCTGTGGGCAAGACGCCCGAAAGAGAGGATGTGGTCAGAAGGGAAGGGGGCGGAGGGGGGAGGGATGCTGGCAGCCGCAGGCTTCCCGGAGTCTGGCACAAACAGTGCAGAACCGGGGGAAGCTAATTTTAAAACTTACTCTGCAATCACGGTGCAAACCCTCAGAGAGTCGGACCTGGGCCAGCGCCGGGGCTGGGACTGGCGTCTGCGTGGGCTGACGGGCCGCCCAGAGGCTGTGGCTTCGCGACGCTCCAGGTGGCACGGGGCATTGGCCTCACGTCCCCCTGCCCCCACCTCCCAGCACAGCACCCCCACCTCCGCCTGGAGCCCTGCCTGCACCTGCCCCTTGAGGGGGCTTCTCTCCATCCTCTCCCCTCCTAACCTCCTGCCCGGGGCTCTGCCTTCCAGCTCCTTCCCTGAGGGGCTTGGGGGACAGAAAGGTGGGGGGCACAGTGTCGGCCATGTCAGGACCCCGAGAGGAGGCTGGCTGGCACGTGTGACTGTGTCTTCGCCCTGGGTGGCAAAGAGCCTGGGCCCTCAGACGGGTGTTCCTATAGCGAAACCGTCACTTCCCCCAGTGGGACTTGGTCGGGGTGAGCCGTGGAGGAGGAGAGAGAAGGGAGGAACCTCTGCCCCGTTTTCCAAGGGCCCAGGGTGCACCCCCAGGCGGAGCGGACCGCCGTTGGGAAGACAGACCAGCAGAAGGGCTGTGCAGGCAGCGGGGCCAAGTTTGGGGAGGTTTGGGAAGGAATACTGAGGTGCCGGGTCCCCAGAGTGTGGTCTGGAAGGAGGGGCGTCCGTCCCCTCTGCCCCAGACCTGCCTGGTGGGGAGGGCACCCCAGTGGCACCCCAGTCCCTGTAAGTGTAGGGCCAGGAAGGGCTCCTGTCACCTGGGCCCACGGGCAGCTCGACCTCGAATCGCCAGGCCTCCCCTGGGAGCTCTGTGGGCACCCTCCACGGGCGGGCCCCTGACTCCCATCCCACGGCCCACAGGGACCTCGGGTCAGCAGTGCCTCCTCATAGCTGCCCACTCCCTGCCTTCAAGAATGTTGCTGCCGCCGCACCCCCTCGACCACCACAGGGCTGCAGGGGTCAGGTGGGCTCGGCAGGGAGCTGGCTGGTCTGGGCGACACCTGGACCTCCACCCAGGGACCACGCATCTGAATGAAACGCTTCACCTGAGCTTAGGTGACTGAGACTTGCCTCTTTCTTTTAAAGAGATGCAGAAAGCTTGAAGGTTGCAGTAATCGATGTTCTCATCATTAGCTCCATCGGCGAGTCCATTAGTGTGAGCGCTGGGTCAATGGCTGATTGTCTACAACGCAAACACTGTTGATCACGGCGAGCAGAAGAGGGGTGCTGGGGGAATGAGATAATAACTAACACTGACCCGGTGCGTGCTCGTTTCCCGGGTACCTGCACACACCACCGCTCCCCTGGGCCCTCGTGACAGCCCGGGGGTGTGCGGAGGGCCCCAGCTGCTCCTCACCCCGTCTCCCTCGGGACCTCCTCTTTCTGTGTGAACAGCGTACAGGGGTCCCTGCCTCTGATGGGGACAGCCGGGGTCTGCATGGGGAGGGCTCCATGCTGTGGTCCTCTCCCCGCCCCTCCTCATCTCTGTCCCTTACTAAGTGCCGTTTCTCGCCCTGTGCCGCTCACTGTGCTGGAGGCCTCTCTTCCTTACCCCTGAAGGCTCCCCCGGAGCCCATCCTCACGGGCTCCGCCTCCCCCTTGGGCACACATCGCTTTCCGTTAGGCAGGGTGCTAGTCTAATAATACATCCTCAGTGAATCGCAGATGTTAGTATGTGCGTGTTTAAGGTGAGTGAATGTATCGGGTGTAAAACTGGGGTCGGGTGCTTTGCGTGCACGAGCTTGGCCAAGCTACAGACGTCAGGCATGGAAAGGATTCAGAGGGTTCCGATGGAGATGCATGAAGATCTCTTTGCCAGTAACGTGCTAGACACCTGTGATTGTAAGTCATCACCCAGGCCTGAAAGCAATTGTAATCTAAGGGGAAGACAGACACGGAAACAAATCCTTGTAATCCGGGACCTGGGAGGCTCGGGAGCCCTCCTTGGGAGCAGGAAGAGAAGCCTTCCTGGAGGAGGCGCAGGGGGGTTCTCGGAGGATGAGTAGTGAGATGCAGTGAGACTTCGGGAGGGGACAGCGCAGTGTGGCAGAGGGCAGGGCGTGGGCAAAGGGGAAGACGTGAGCCAGCATGGTGTGTGGGGGTAGGGCCCAGAACGTGAGGGCCACATACGTCCTGTTGATGAACTTGCCTTGTCTCCTGAGGGGTTCGGACACAGGACACAATCCGATCAGCACTTTTGAGGGACCTATCCCGGACAGTTAGGCAGACCAGGTCAGAGACGCTGAGGGCTTGGATTGAGAAGGGCAATGAGAGGCAGACGCAGAAACGGGGGTGAATCGTGGATGGGCCAATGCCGGGGGTTCAAGCAACCTCCTCTGAGCAGAAAGTCTGCTACGGTGATTTCCTAAGAATTAGTGTCGTCTTGAACTTGGCCTCGTCTCACCCTCTTACAGGCTGAGCTCCTTCCAAGTACATCAAACTTGAGTCACCACCTCTTCCCCGCAAACGAACCTTCACGCACTCATCCGTCCCAAGAAAGGGGTGTTTTCAATGAACGCCTCTGAACACTTGATTACAATTCCCCCGCCCCGAAGAGTCGACGCCTCCCTGTGGGTCTCACGAATGCCTGTTTGCGGTTCCGCGTCCAGTTGGGCTGGCTGCGGCTCGATTCACTTGTTTTGCTTTTTCCCCCGTTCAGTTTTGTTTTGACTTGTTCCTATTTCTTCCTGAAACCACACAGCCTAGAACTTTTGTTACCCGACTTCCCCTCTGAGCCTCCCGTGTCGCCCAAGTTGGCCGTGTTAGGAAGTGGCAGGCACCTCTCGGCTTCTGAAAGGTTCATTCAGCCTCTCCTCTTCTTGTGCGTCTCTTCTGCTTTTCCAGGTCGAGCTGGGAGCTGCCTGACCTCCGGGAAGGGAGAGTGAAAGCCATCAGTGACTCAGACGGCGTCAGCTACCCTTGGTACGGGAACACCACAGAGACTGTGACCCTGGTCGGCCCCACCAACAAGATGTCCAGGTTCTCCGTCAGCATGAACGACAACTTCTACCCGAGTGTGACGTGGGCCGTGCCCGTGAGCGACAGCAATGTGCCGCTGCTCACCAGGATCAAGAGGGACCAAAGTTTCACAACCTGGCTGGTGGCCATGAACACAACCACCAAGGAGAAGATCATTCTGCAGACCATCAAGTGGAGGATGAGGGTGGACATCGAGGTGGACCCTCTTCAGCTCTTGGGGCAACGGGCCCGGCTGGTGGGCAGGACACAGCAGGAGCAGCCCCGGATCCTGAGCCGGATGGAACCCATCCCCCCCAACGCGCTAGTGAAACCCAATGCCAACGATGCCCAGGTCCTCATGTGGAGGCCCAAGCGAGGGCCGCCTCTGGTTGTGATCCCTCCTAAGTAGAAGCCCACTGGCCCGACGGTGCGTGGCACACAGGTGGAGACGGACATGCAGGGAGGTTGCCGGAGATGGCAGGAGCCAAACTGAATTTCTGAGCCAAAGCCGACCTCTGGGGTTTGCCAGCCTCTGCAGCCACCTGGGAAGAGGGAAAATCCCTTCCTCTTAGGAATAAAGAAATCACTGCTTCAAAAGACTTGCTGTGATGACCGAGCTAGTAGCCATATTCTGGAGCTGACCGGGATGATTCTTTTATCCGAACTACTGACCATTTCTCTCCTGCGAGATGCAGGGGATGGAAACGAAATTAAACAGTGCCTGTGGCAAATGCTGCTTCCCAACCAATGAGAAGTGGATTGCAAGTGAGACCCACCCCAGGAGTTTGTAAGACAGACCGTCCTGCTGTCGGGCGGGAGGGTGCTGGGGAAAGGGGGTGGCATGAAGTCAGGTGGTGAGGAGGATGGGTGCTGGGGAGAGGAAGGAATGAGTTCTTACAAATTAATCATTGTGCATTTATTATTGATTATCCGATCATCGATATACTCATGGAAGGAAAGGGCAACTTAGACAACGGCAGGTATTGACAGTCGCTCTAGTCCCAGAGGGCGTCCTGGGAGCTGTCCGAGGTGCTGACGTGGGCTACCCGCTGGTGACCCTTGATGGCTTCATCTGCCTACCTCTTTCCAAAAAGTGATTATCCCGCGTATCCTTAATCACAGCATTTGGGTAGATCCTTTCTGTGCTCTGCCGTAGCTGTGACATTCAGGGCCTTGGCCATGTTTTTAGTGAAACCTGATTGGTGGTTTCTGTTTACAGCCGCTTATTCTGTTCCCGTGACCAGGGCTAAGCTCGCAAAAGGATGGCGTGCGTGAGCGCGAATCCGTGGAGGGCTTCAAGAACATCTGCGCAGATGAGAATAGCGTTTTCATCGTGGGTTTGTTTGCTGCTCTAGTTGCTGAAAGAGTTGGACATAAAGAATGCCCCCGTGCAGGCGCAGCGCTGGCCGGTCCGCCGGAAGCAGCTGGTGCCTACGCTGAGTCTGTCTGGGAGCTTTAGCTGGATTCCACAGCGGCTCAGTTTAACTGCCGGGGCCCTTGTGAGAATGTGCTTCCTAAGCCTTAACTTCAGAGCTCGCTAATGAAAATCCGAGCTACTCGCAGTACGCTAGCCTGTCTGGCTGAGCGCCAGCCGGTAAATGTGAGAGACCACATTTCCTTGGGTCAGGCCAACATCAAACTTTTTTAAGAGTTTCTAATTTTTACAATAAGGATTTTTCCAGCTCGTCTAGCTTATATCATCCCTTTATTCTCAGTCATGCCAACTGTGCTTTGTAAATAAGGTGCCTTGTGCAACTCCCTCCCCCATGCCAAGTAATGATAAAGCTCCCACAGTGTCACTGTGGATTTGATGGATGGACGTGATTTCAGAAGTGAGAGTCGAGGTTCAGAGCGATCATTACAGTCCTGTGGTTGGCTCCAAAGATGTGTCTTCTACCAGAGTGTAAGGACAGAGCAGAAAAAGCAAGAGGACTTTTCTATCACTTTTATTAAAAATTCAATGAAGCCGAATTTCTTTCAGGTTCTAGTCACAGGGGCAGTACTTACACGAGCGGGTTAACAGATCCATTCGAATTACATAGTGTGACCTCACACCCCGATCACAAGCTACCCCCATAGATTAGTTATTGATGACAAGTTGGGCTATTTACAACAGCACATTAATGACACATCGGTGAGTCACAGGAGACCGGAGGCATTTCACTGAGAAATAACTCAGCTGTTCCATTTGGATTCCTCCATCCCTTCCCACGCTTCCTTGGGCTTTGCTTTGTTTAGGGGACAGGTGGCCCTCAAAGGGCTTCATGGCCGAAGTGTAGAGCCACCGATGGTCCAGACTGAGGCTCAGAAGCAACCGTATGTCCCCCTGGTTGAATTAGACGCCGCCCTGATGGGATTCTGAAGAGTGGACCTAATCCACGTGGTCTCCCTTTAAGAAAACCTGATCTTTCAAAATCCAAAATTGCCAAAAAAAAAACCAACAACAACACACCAAACAAACCAACAACTAAGAGAGAATTATGTCTATGACACAGTCTTGTACAAGATTTCTGTTTTCAAGTTCTCCTTGCCCACTCAAATAAGAGGTGACCTGCACAGTTACATCTACACAGTTTTCCCAAGGGCACAGCTGCATTAATGAAGAAGGTGCTGCCCACTCAGCTGGACGGTTTCCCTGTAAATTCACACTTTTCAGAATTAAAAAAAAAAAATCCCAGGCCAGTTTTCTGGAAAATCGGGTAATGACAAAATGAGAGAGACAGGAAAGTGTTATAAAAGATAAAAGGCCTGAGTGATGATCAAACGTACATTGTGATTCTTGTCAGCGATACTGGGTTCAACCCTACGGCTGGGTCTCTCGGTTCTGAAGTCACCTGGCAGAATGTTCTAGTGCCCTAGAGCTGATTGTTCTACAGTGATCGCTGTTTTACAAGAAAACAGCACCTTTCCTGTCTGTGACCCTCAGGTCACCACCTCTCGGCCCAGTCAGGACATTATGACGTAAAAGGCCCTGTGGCAGGAGGGACTTCACCTGAGGCCACCTCCCTCCTCGCCTCAGGCCGTTGTCCCCAAGATCCCCCTGCTGTCATGCCAGATGCCATCAGTTTAAAGGGGTTCATTTGGTTCCTTGATTGGGTTTTAGTTGGATGCTCTTAGGATTATATCTGGATTCTACACACACACACACACACACACACACACCCTGGAAAACAGCATTTCGCTAGGTCGCAATTCTTCAATGTAGTCACCTCTGAGATCTTTGACTCCACGAACCCAAGGAAGTGGAGATCCAATTAAATGAGCTCATCTTATCAGGGCCATCCGTGTACCTATTCGGCAGAGCCCAGAGAAGGACTTGGGTCCCTCAAACCACACAGCACAGCACAGACACTTCCCTGAGCCCCACAACCCTCTCCTTGTCTCCAGCCGAGTGTCACCCTCCCCGAGCCATTCACCTCTTAGCACTAGAGACCATGGGATCCGCCCTTTAAAGAACAGGAGTGAGTACAATCATGTAAAGGAAAAAAAACCAAAAACAAGAATGTTCCAGATGTGCTTTGACATGTGCCCACTGTTTGGAGATTGAACTCTTCATCCGGGCCCTTGGCAGCAAGCGTGTCACAGCCTGGTCGTGGCTGTGCCCCACAGCGCGGGGAGTCGAAAGCTGGTCCCCTCTCTAGTCTCACCAAGGGAGTTTCCCTGGTGCTGGGAGTGGCACCTCCCAGGTCAAAGGCCTGTGCTTAGTGGTGATTCTGAGTAAAATAAAAGAACTGTGATTTCTATTTTACAAAAGACTTCCCTATGCGTTTCCTCACCCCCAGACAGCCTCGGAGGAGTGTCCCATTGTCGTCACCCCCATTTTACTGGCGTTGCATTGAGATACCAAGAGGTTAAGGGATTTCTTCATCCACACAAACAAAATGTCAGGAGCTGGCGTTCAGGCTGGGCGATTTGGGCCCCAGTCCCATGATCCTCCAGGGGCCTCGCCGCCTCCCAGGTGCCCCCTGCAGGGTGGGCACGGAAGAGGACTGGAGAGAAAGCAGTTGGCTCCTACACAGTCACGCGCCCCTCCCAACCTAAGCGAACATGTGAAAAATACGAGCACACACAGTTTTCTGCCGCAGAGAACCTTGTACGCCCCGGGGAGACTGGCCCAGAGGACGCCCGTCGGCGCAGTGGGGGTGAGCTGTCAGTGCAGGACTGGTAATTAGTGGAGGAGCAGATCTGCTCTCGGGGCTCAGGATCCCCGAAGCACCAGGAGCACGGAGGACGAGAGCGTTCATCCGCAGCTGAGGCCCCAGCTGAGCGCGGCCCTGCCCCCTGCCGGCCCCCCTCCCGGCAGGAGCAGCCCGTGGGGTGGAGGCAGCACGAACAATGGGCTCCCGAGCCCGGTTGGCACATCGAACGCTCTTGTTAGAACCGAGGACACAATTAAACATTGCCAGAGCCAGCTCCCAACAGAGTTGCAAAGAGAGATGTAAACACACGCACACACACACACTCTACACTCACACACGCTTCAAGCTGAAAAAATTAATCAAAAACCCAATGAATGCCCGAGCTCTGTAATTAAGGCTGAACGATCCTTAGAAGGGAGCTGAGCAGGCGGATATTTTTACCCCCGCGTCCTGTTGCCCTTCACATCTTGGGGATCTTGAGAACATCGGGTTCCAGTCTCCCTGCCGAGACACAGCCTGGGGTTGCAGCTAGAAGACAGCCACAGTCCCTTGGCTGTCCTCAAACATTTTGCAGGAACGCACCTGGAGAGACAGTCACCCACCCCTCCCAGGATGGACCCCGACACTGGCCTCAGGCCTCCTAACAACTCCGTGGACGTGGACAGTACTTTACGGTTTGCACAGGGTCTGACGTCCCTTCGCGTAGACTTGACGCCGCAGAGGAGCACACATTCCTGCTCGAGGCCGGACACCTTCGTGTGGGCCTCCTCTTTCTGTCCTCGTTATGAAGGACGACAGCTCCCCTTGATCAGTGGGTTACAGCTGCACAGCTCCGGCACACGCATTGTGCCATGTTGCTCTCAACAGCCCAATAAGATCCCCTTTGTGTCCTCTTACAGGCGAGGGATTTGAGGAGTAAGGTCAGGCGGCCCGTCCAAGGACACGCTGCTGTTAGCAGTGCTCTGAGGACGCGAGCGTGCGCCCCCAACCCCCACCGTCCATGCATTCGCAGGGAGCATGCCCCCCAGCTGGATGCCAGCCTGTCTGCGTCCCAGCCCCTGCCGCTCCTCGGGCAGGGTGCTGGCTGGGCGGCTAGGACAGGCGGTCTTTGTGGGGTCTGCCCAATGCGTCCCTGGTGTGCTCTGAGGAGTCTGGGTTCAGTGACCCAGGCTCTGCACCTTCAGGTGATTTCTCTCCTAACCCAGTCGAAAGGGAGGCCCATTGGGGTGTCCTGAGGCCAGCGGCCAGAGCCAGACCTCAGCATGTCTTGAGAGTACCTAGACCCAGCTAGTGAACTACCCCTGGAGCAAATCACTTCGTTCCTCTGGGCTTCGACTCCTCCTGTGTTAACTGAGCCACCGATATGGCCCAGCCCGCGTCACCGTCTGAAAGACTATGATGATGTCTTCAAACGCCCCGAAATGTCTAAAGTGCTGCCTGGTATGCGGTGTGGTCACAGCAGTGGACTCACGGGGTCCGGGGCAGGTGGCAGGCCTGCCAGACCCAGTTCGGGGAAACCCACCTTCCCTGCCAAGCGAGCCGGGCCACATGGAGGGGGTGGGCCTGAGCTTCCCCTGCCCCGGGCACCCTGGCGGGGGGCAGAGGAGGGAGACCTGCCCAGCC